TACTCCCCAGAATCTCATTCCATAACTTCCGAACTCATGTTTTCTTGACCAAGACATGCACGTTGTTAGAAAAACTCCTGAAAATTCATTACACTATACTCACCTCACATTCAGACTTTATTGTTGGAGAAGTTATTTGAAGTGGATCCTCTTCCTCTTGTATATCTGTCACATCTTCAACTTTTACTTTGATGAGCTCACTTCCATCATGATTAGAAACTAGACACGTTTCACTATGCCCATCTGATACAACTTCCTGTAAACCGATGCAAGTCTGTAAAACCGCCATCACTCATATTAAGTATCTAAATTTTATCACAAGGAAATGTTTGGGTACTTGGAAAAACCATTAAAGAATAAAAGTTCATAATGAAATGATAACCAGAATATACACAGGAGATACACGCAAAATACGGGAATTTGTTATTCACTGCTTTATAAAAACACAAGAAATTCCGTGAAAACTTCTTGAGAAGCTAATAGTTGCTTAGTTGACCAAGAAATCACCCTGGTGATAGAGCAAGTAAGCAGCTATGAAACATCAGTCACTTTTTTTAGTTTACATGGCACAGCAGCCCAGAGAAATGTCATATTCAAAATATATTTATTTTCATGTTTATGGTTTCAGAAACTGGGTGGAAATAATAAAGGTTTCTAAACAGAACAGTAGCAAATATTCCTCAAATTGAGTCTGTTCTTCATTCCTCAGAAAAGAAACACAAGCCAACTTGATCCCCTGCCCATCACAGCCCATGCATCTATGTATGTACACACACATGAATAACAATCACAAAAAATTACCTGGAAAAAAAGAGCTTACCCTGGGTTCAGCCTTTATTATGGAAAATGGTGATGGTATGTAAACCTTATGAGTTTGCAGGCCAGTGGAATGTTCTTCACTCAAAGCATCCACATAATTTTCAACCGAGTTTATATCAACATCCTTCAATAAAAATATAAATTACACACAACTCATTCAGATGATACAGTTCTTATGAATTAAATTCATGTGCAAATCGTCAAGAAGAGGATACTTCTCACTAGCAAGTTGGGCTTGGAGATGAAGATGAAACTAGTGAAGTGTTACGTATGGAGCAGAGACTTGGACACTCAGGAAGAAGGAACAGAAATACCTGGAGAGTTTTGAAATGTGGTGTTGGAGAAGAATAGAGAAGATCAGGTGGACGGATCGAGTGACCAACGAAGAAGTATTGAGGAGAGTCAACGAGCAAAGAAACATTCTGCAGGCGAATACACGAAGGAAAGCTAACTGGCTGGGACATATTATGAGAAGGAATGGGTTACTGAGTGATATCATCGAAGGCCAGGTTGAAGGAAAGCGAGGGCTGGGAAGAAGACTGATACAGCTAACCAATGATCTGAAACAAGGAAAGAAGATGAAGTTCCAGGAATTAAAATGAGAAGCTGAGAATAGGGAAAACTGGAGAGCTCTTTTTGAGCAGGGCAATGGACCTGTCATAAGACAGAACACTGAATAATAATCATGCAGAATAGAAGATTCCACAGTGGAACTTCTAAAATTCTGATATCATAAATGCAGGGATTCAGAAATGGAATAGGGGTTGCCCTCAAACTGACAAAATATCTCAAGTCTTTTTCACAACAAAGCTACTGAGACATGAGAATCATGTAGGCCGTAAGAAAATAAATTAACATTGTTTGCTGAAGCAAGGACTTTACAAGTAACCTATGGCTATAATGCCAAGATACACGGCTTGGTTAGCAAGTACCCAACATTAAGTCCAGATGTATACAGCTCCTTTATTCTGTAGTTACATTTTTTATGTAAGTTTTATGGTTGGTTGGTGAAGCACTTCATTTTCTACATTCGTTGAAGGCCCAATTTATTCAATGGCTCATACAAAATATCTACTCTAATCTGACTCATATTACTGTCTTCCTCTTATCACATAGTAAGTTCAAGATAATGGATACATACACACTATTCAATTTAGGCTATGCAATGTGATCCCGTACTGACGATTTCGTGAGTGCAGGAGCATTTTATTTTATTTATTTAGTGTTCTGTCTGACGACAGGTCCGTATGAACAGGATCCTTCCATCCTTTTCTCGGACTGGGACCTGTTCATATACGTTCTTGGCAGATGATCCAGAAGTGGTTTGCCATTGCCTTCTTCTGTGTGTGAATGGAGTAATTGTTGGGATGCCACGGAGAAACCGGGGAAGCCCCCGGAGGAAAACTCCGTGTTGCCTAGACCACGGCCTTGCCCAACACAAGTTATAAATTCGGGCACCGCCGGGAATCGAACCCGAGACCCCAGGAACACAAGGCCAGAGTTCTAACCGCTAGACCACTGTGGCTAGTTGCAGGAGCATAAGAGAACAAAATTATTAAGCTGCAAAAATGTTGTTTCTTTATACCTACTGCATGCAAATGAAAGCATTGCACACTCTCAAACCTGGATGTCATATTAAGACTGACTTATACTGTAAGAATGCAAGCACATACATGCATGTAAGTGCATACGCAAATAAGAAACACAAAAATCAGCTGAAAGCAAAGTTTACCTTGGGTTCAGTCTTTATTGTGCAAAATGATGGTACGTAAAACTCATCAGTTATCATGCCAGTGGAATCTTCTTCACCAAGAACATCCATATCACCTTCTCTTTTGATTATATCAACATTCTGCAGTAAAATTATCAATTAAACATAATGATTTCAAAAATATAATAGGGAATGCCCTCAAATTAACATTAAGTCCTTTCAGGTTAAATTTTATCTCACTATTATTTCTCATATTAAAAATTCTTAAACATGCGAAATTTTGGCAATATTGTGCGCTGCAAGAAACCTCTCTAACCTTGTGTTGCTGTAGCAAGATATTGAAAAGATCTTACTGCAGTAAAGGCAAAGTACATAGCCTGCTAAGTAAGTACCCCACATATACAGCTCTTTAAGAGTTACATTTCTTAAGTAAGCTTTAAGGTTGGGCAATTACATATTTTGTATAAGATACTATTTCGTTTCAAACGGACTCAGTTAAAAGTAGTTTTGTCCTGTTCTGAATAATTGAGAAATGTGACAAACTCTACTTAATAATTACAATATGGAATTTCTAAATGTTCCTATGAGTTGGTTTCACGTATTGTAATGGAAAACCTTATTACGTTCTGATTATGTGAACATCATCAGAGTGGCACATGCATGAGAAGAAAGTTATAAGGGCTTACTCAATCTCACTGAAATATATTACTTGAAATTCACAATATGAATACACTAAACCCTTCTAATGTACAAATATTCCTGTAGACTTAAAGAGACAGAAATTAAAAAATCACACATTCTTCTCACAAAATAATTAGCTTTCTGGTCATGTAAATTCAGTGAGTGAGTTAGAATTTTTGAAGTTCTCACAGCAACGAGTATTTACACGGCTGTCTTCTGGGCTGTAGTGCCATCCAGTGTGGAAGAATTTTACTATTGTTTCAGAGATAATTTCTGCCTCTATCACCATTGCCCTGATAATGGATGCAGCAAGTCCTCTGAAATGTCAGTACACTTCTACCAGACTACACAGTGCTACAACACAGAAGATAGTTCAGCGAATAATTTTCATACATAAACACTCACCAAAGTCTCCTTCAGAGATGGAAATATTTCATCTCCCTGCATTATAATTTCTGGTACTGTTGTTAGAAGAGAATCCTCTGTATTGTGCAAGTTTGAAACTAGTTCATCACACATCATGATTTGTGGCTTGGAAGTAACCTACAGATATAAATTCATAGTTCTGTTAATTGTATCTAACCTGGAATATGTATCCATGTTCTGAAAGGAAACACTCACAGTAACGAGTATTTACACAGCTGTCTTCTGTGCTGTAGTGACATCCAGTCTGGAAGAAGTTTACTAATGTTTCAGAGACACTTGCTGCCTATATCACCATTGCCCTCATAATGGATTCAGCAAGTCCTCTGAAATGTTAGTACACTTCTACCAGACTACACAGTGGACAGTTCAGTGAATAAGTTGATCGATTACATTAATTTTCATAAATACACACTTACCAAGTACTCCTTCAGAGATGGAATTGTTTCACATCTCTGCAGTATAATTTTTGGTACTCTTGTTAGAAGAGACTGCTCTGTTTTGTGTGAGTTTGAGACTAGTTCATCACACATCATGTTTCGTGGCTTCTGTATTAAAGTGGGTTGCAAGTAACCTACAGATATAAATTCATAGTTCAGTTAATTGTATCTAACCTCGAATATCTCCCCATGTTCTGAAAGGAAACATACTGATTACATGAGGTGTTTAAAGATACAAGTTTAATTGTAAAATGGATTTATTTCTAATAGGCATTCACCCTTCATTTAGACATACCGAAACTTCAATAACTTGACCCTAGACCATCACTTATCAGACTTCTTTAATAATACAACAGAGACTGACATGTCTAATGGATCGGGAAAAAAAGACATAATTTATTAAAATATGTGACATATCAGAAAGATCATGCCTGAAAAAGAATGATGAAAAGTTTACAAAATCACAATGAGAAGTGACAGAATATATGATCTAAGGCGACCAAACTGAAGAATAATAAGATTAGTAACATCACACACTCTCTAGGCACTTGCTCCTGACATTTCCGGGTCAAAACGTGGATACAGCAAACAGATATTTCAGTTATCTGAAGGCTGTGCTAATGCAAGTGCAGAAGTGGAAAAGTAAGAATGAGCAATATGACTTCTTACCATCCGAAAACTTGTCAATCTAGAGGAAACAGGAAAAACTAACTTCATTACAAAACAGTAACATAATTATAAGTATCAAAAGCCATTAACATATTCCACCTTCTAGAATAATGTCCATGATATTAAAACTGACATACCTTCATCTCAAACATTCATAAATAAAGTAATGTCTTAATTTTCTGGATATTGCTGATCAAAAATACCCCACTAATAACACTTTTCACAGTTATATTACCCTGATGCATGCTTAACATTAGTCTGGGAGATAAGTAATCAACACAGCCACAACTTATGTGCCAACCCACAACACTCACTTTCACAACACCCATCCCAATACAACCTAAAGGACATATCTGTGACTAGTTTTGCTAATTATCTCTTCCTTTCAAATTTTATAACTATAATATTCTGTGCATTTCTGTTTTACCCTATCTGTGATACATAACCCAGAAATGTTCAACACAGTAACATTTGATGAACTGAATACAATAAGGTGATGGACAATGAATAATATCCAAATAAAGTATTATAATAATATAAAGTTCTATGTAAGATTTGAGGTTTTCACAGCAGTGAGTATGAAGATTTCTGTCTTCTGGGTTGTTGCACTGTGTAGTCTGGTTGATAATCATCGCCCTGATGACGGAGGCAGTATGACCTCTGAAACGTTGGTTAACATCGACCAGACTACACAGCGCAACAACCAAGAAATAATATAAAGTTCTACATTATGCAACTTGCCCCACCCTCCGGTTACCATCTGACATGTGCCAGTGTTTTTTTTCCTCTGGAGTTTGTTCTCAAACACTCTAAAACTATATGACATTTGAGGTTTTCACAGTAGTGAAAACGTCATCAAGAACGTTTTTAAACACCTGTACCACTACACAGCATCATAACCTATACGACCAAGTCAAATTTTAAACAACATTATTTTAAGTTTGTGTATAGACGGAAAATAAAAATGTAACAAGATGCAGTATTCACTGAGAATGTTATAATTTTAAGTAATTTTAAACAACATTATTTTAAGTTTGTGTATAGACGGAAAATAAAATATTGCATCAATAAAACACAAACATGACGCAATTAAGATATAAAAAAAAGTCTTAACTATGTTGTAGAAAGCTAAAACTTAACACAAAAGTTAACATGTTACTATACACCAGCTCCATCAGATAACAAATTACAAATGATGCAGACAAAACACATATTCGCAAATTTATATAAAAACTCCATCACAAATGGCAACATACAAACAGTAAAGTTACACCTAATCATAGTCATAACACAAGACAAACAGAATTTATTTATATCCCATAGATCCTTCATAGGCCTAAGCTGGGGATGTAGAACATGTTACAGCACAAATACATTATTTGTTTCTAATACATATACAAATTACATAGTTTATGACAGTGATTTAGTCAACTACAGTTTTACAGCAAAAATACACATGGAAGCATGACCTCAAATGCTTACATATATTTATAATAGCTGAGAAATTTTGGTAAATTATTCAATGGAGTATGAGTGAGATAGGAGAATCTTTTAGTGCTTGCTTGCTTAAACTTCTTTATATTGCAATCTGGACTTTTTATAATGGGAGGAAGATTTCTGCATAGTTTAATTACAGTACAGTAAACTTCTTGCTGATATTTACTGAGATTAGTGTTTGGTACATGAAGGTTATAATTCTAAATTGTACTTACATTGCATAGCATAACGATGCCCGTCTGCTATCAAACTTAGGAAACGCAAAAAAAAGGGAATCCAGGAGAATAAACACAGTAATTTGTTCATTCCTATGCTATAATTAATACATTCAATGGCATTAAGATTATCACAAAAAAGTCAGGTTACAGCAGTATTCTCATTGAATGTCTGTCGTACTTGAAATGAAACTATCAAACATTTAGAAACAGTAGAATTAATTTATTCAATTTCGAACAACACACAGAAAACCAAATTAATTTATTAGCATTATCCTGATCCTCCCACTGTAATTCACGAATACATTGTACAACTGTGGATTTGTGGCAATCGCGTCGACTAGAAATGACTGCTTTCGTCTATAGTGCACAGTCTACAAGTCACAGATAATATTTATATTCTATTTCTAATTCTATTGTACCTTCATACAAGCTGATCTGGATGAAAGATGAGCAAGGAATACTTTTTTGTATTATTTTCAATCCAACACAGCAATAGGTAAGTGTACTGCCACACTGCACGTAGCAAACAACAGAAACCTTGGGTATAGAACGCGACTGTAAACTTCGACTTGCAAGGAATACAGGACGTCCGAAGCGTTAATGGCTGACGCTATCTTTCCCCCTTCACCCCACTTCAATCCACGCACGATTACAGTCTTACACTTGTAAACAATATTACCACAATACAAGAAAGACTTATAATACCGAGGAGGGCCTCCAGAGCACAAGACAGCTTTACTGCCTTCAAAAGTTCAAATATCATGCTTTTGTATACTTCTTTACCTTGTTCATCAAGGATGCAACTACCAATTGCCGTTCTTTAGCCCAATCCATGGCTGAATTAAAATGTCTTCACACGAACATCCTGGGGTCAGAGATGAGCAGTTATAATTCCAATGTAAACCCAAAACAATGTTGGTCTTAGTGACAGTGTGGTCTGGCCTTCATTGCTCAAATCCTGTGGCCATGGGTTTGAATCCCACTCAATGCATGGATGTATGCCTATATCTTCCTGTGTTCAGAAACAGGCCTTGCAATGGACTGACCACAAATCCAAGAAGCCCTACCAAATGTTAAAACAGATAAAGGAATTTCCCATATATCGGGAGGCCGAGGTTGTTAAGGATTACAGAGCCACAAAAAAAGAAGACCCCTAACACTAAAAAATAAAGATATTCCACCACACATCATGGAAGCACTTTTGGGAGGAGATATAGCCCCTACTCATTCTTGGCCTTGGAACTACATGGGCCAGTACACACCCTGACCACACTTTACCCCTGGGGAAAGGATCCCTCCCACAGTACCCATTAGAGAGGAGGCTGGATGGGCCCCAAAACCAGTCTTAACACAGAACAGAGGGCAAATCCTTTGCCCCTGCCAGGGATCAAACCCGTCATTGTCTTTAGTCAGACAATACCAACTGGGCTATGCTGGCTTTAGATCCCTAACACTAATTTCTCTAAATTTTAAGAATGAGATTTAATAGTGACAGAAAAAGTCTTCAATCAAATAAAAAAAAATCCTTTCTGTCATTTAGATCAAATATTTTGAATAACTGGTCTGTCTGTCTACTGCACATTTAAATGATTGTTACCTCTGAATATGGTCTTTATGAAAAACTTTAACCCATTCAGTACTGACAGCTATTATTTTAACTGTAATTGAATGGTTTTGAGTAATATGCTGTCAGGCCTACAGCTGTAAACTGATGATACAAACCTAACATCCTACACCTCATGGAATTTGATTTGATGCAGTTCAGAAACAGTAATTTGGCTGCTAGTGCCATAATGAAACATTCACATAAATGAGATTGAAGTGTTTAATTCTGATTCTGAAGTTGAATATATGTCAAACCATTCTGACACTGATGTACACACTACTTAACAGAACAAAGTGATAAGTTTTTCAAGAGATGAAGCATGATGTGACAAGAAGAAAATACAGAGCTACAGTATACTGTTTACAATCCAAGTTTGATTATTGTTGCACAACATACAACTGAAGAGTTTCCACGTGATTGCTTTCAAATGTTTACACATGAACTACAGATTATTTTACAATACTGGTGAACAATGGGTTAGCAGTTCTATCCTGTGTCTGTCAGATCTCAAGTTAAAAAACCTGGCTTAGTGACCCTTGACAGACGTGATTTTCATTAGTTGTTCCAGGCTGAGGAACACCTGATAAAACACCATTGCTCAAACCAGAGCCCACATGATCTCAAAATTTTCCCATTCATTCATCCTTATGACCTACTTTCCTAAAATTCATTTTAATGTTATGTTTTTTCTTCCAAGCAGTCTCTTTCCAAGAGATGCCCCCATCACAATGTATTTTCACGTCTTCCTCATCTGTTGGCCCATCTTAACCTTCCTATGTAACCTGAACAGATCACATTTTCCCATTATGTAACACCTTCCATCCTCAATATACTGTCAAGTCCTCCTTCTCAGGCCCACAAATCTTTGAGCATTCTGTTCAATATGAGAAAAATAATGAAAATAAAAAGTAGTTGTAACATCTGAAAAAATCTGTATAAAATAGGCCCTTTCGTTAAAGCATAAATAATGTTCCATTTCAGATCAACAATAAGAAGGAATGCAATTGAAGATTTATGTTGTCACTACTGTTGTGATATTTTTATATAATTATATTAAGTTGAATTATTATATCATACAATCATCAATGATATAATATACCAAATGCCACTCTCTCTCAATACTGGTGATGAAATTAAAAGCAAGACATAAAAATACAGCTGGCCCAGTCACAATTATAATAATTTTTTTCCTTTCACTACATAGTCCCTTGTTTTCTTGAACTGAGATGCTGAAGCAATACCTCTGCACATGAAACTGTGATTAGACATCTTAATCTTTACAAGCTGAGTTTTTAGAAAGGGAAAGAAAATTATAAAGTGCACACTTGACAGGTATTTTCAACATTCAGAATTATAGATGAGACACTAACATCCATGCTCTTCACATTAACAAGGACCTTAATGTTTAATTTTTATTATTTATGCATGAACAAAACTAATCTGATATAAAATTTGGTCACATTCAGATGATCCACGGATGTAAAGCTTTTCACTACCTTAATAATTATGATTATAACGCATTCTTCCCTTATAATAAACAAACATTAAATATGCATGCAATTCACCGTTATTTTAAATTCAGATTGGCATGAAATCAAAATATGAACTGAATGAATAAACAATCGGAGTACATATGCAGCTCAAAATTTAGAGTAGATATGAATCATAACATATGGAGCATGTACTGTGTGCATTTCTTTGTAACAAATATTATCATATGAAATTGAAAAATCTTCATATTCCTCAAATTTCTATTATAATTATCTTTTACTATATTAATATTTGTTTATTAAGTGGTCAGATCACCCATTCTCCTTAGCCTCTTGTAAAATGAACCATACTGTGTTTCACATTTTAGGGGCGGAAGCCTTATCTTTTTGCCAGTTTACAAAAGAAAAGAAATGAAATACAAAATTGTAATGATAATAACACTCTTTATGAAATCCAGAACAGACAGCTGAAGTATCACAGCTCTATACCAGTCCAGAGTCCAAGTCAAGCTGAGGCACTCAGGGATAGTGACATGCCATTTGTTTTTTCGAACCCCAGTAACTGTTTGGCATCACATTGGTTTGGGTATGAATGGGCATAAGGGATATTGGCATCATTTGTCCCAACCGACTACAATTCAAATTTGAACTGGCCAGCCAATCATGTGTCGAGGGTCCCAAACTAACAACAGATCTGGAAAGTAGGTCAAGAACACTTGCAGTACGCCTGGGGAGGCAGTTGACACCATGCCCTCAGCCATTAAACAAAGCACTCGCATCCAGTAACCGTTGTCCCTGTTATGGGAATTGTGTATCAGAGGATCTATTTTTCAAGAGTAAAAGTACAGGGCTAGTCTAAATGATGTTCCCGATTTGAAAGACATGCTACTCACGTTTAATGAAATTCAGATGCACAAAATTGGTACCGATGGAAAGAGAAACTCTCCAAGTTTTGTTTCAGTACATCACGGGTGTTCAATGTGAGCCCCCTTAGTAACACGGCACACATCCAGCCTGTAGTCGAGTTCCTCCCAGACACGCTGCAGTATAACATGATAGACTGCTGCATTGGCTGCTGTGATACATGCTCGCAGATCAAGCAAGGTCTGTGGTAAGAGTGGCATGAAGACTCTATCTTTGACGAACCCCCACAGAAAAAAATCACAGGGTGTCAGGTCCAGTGAACGTGGAAATCCAGGACACAAAAGGCTCCCGTCTTCAATGGCAGCCATTTTCTCTCACATCGCCTCTGGCGGCGAACAGTGTTACTACGCGGCTGCGAAGTATACCAACATAAACTTGGAGAGTTTCTCTTTCCATCGATACCAATTTTGTGCATCTGAATTTCATTAAACGTGAGTAACATGAGTTTCAAATCGGGGACATCATTTAGACTAGCCCTGTATATTGTGTTATTCTCTAATTTGTTTTTGGATTTATATAAACAAATTATATCAACCCTGAGGTGACTCTTGTTCCCCACTGACATTAGTTCAGGTAATAACTGTCTCTTGCCGAAGGAGCAAAGGAGGAGGGCAGTTATAGCTCCAATACTTCACTTTTATAGATATCATGATGTAGTAACACCATAAACAAAACACCTTGTGTTGATACCAGTTATCATGTGAACACAAAGTATGCTGACAGCATGAGGCCTGGTTACAAAGTGCAGAAAGCTAATGCCACTTTAATTTGCCATCATAGTCTCTTGGAGTGTAACATGGGTTGGCATGAAGTAGCTGTAAGATATAAGAGGGAGAAGGCAGTATTCTGTACAGGTTATTTTGCTTGCAGTATTACTTTTACAATTAATGCATGTGTTTGGAGAATTTCACCAACAGTATTAAAATGAGCAAACAATTTAGCATAATTTCTTCAATTCTGATTCAACATGATCTGAACAGCAAATGCTGCTGATTTTGCACTCTGAAAAAAATATTTTCAAATTTAGGAATCACTGATGACAACATAGTCCTGTCCCAACCTTGTAATTAAATTCAATTACATCTGCCCAAATGCCAGTTTAAACAGTATCTGAAGTCTTACAAAAGTTCTCCAAGCCTCTAAGAATGTACTTCACCACAAAGACATGTAACATTTATGAGAAAACATGTTCCCTCATTATTTAACTTAATTAAAAACACACTTTTGTTGACAGTCATCACAGAAAATCAGAACTAAGCTTATTTGACAACAAATTTTGACTTTTAGTCACTGTTCAATTGTCCCCAAGGACACGGCCACGTCCCCAGTTATGCCTCCCACCACCCCGAGCTCCTCCTCCATCATTGGCTGGACGCCTTGGAGCAGGTGGCTGTCCAAAACCATGGATACCACCTCTCTGGTTGGGAAAAAAACTGTATCTGGAAGAAGAAGGAAAAAAGTAATGTGTAAACTGAGAAATCACTAGGATTAACACTTACCATTGACAAGGTATGTGACCTGCAGTATTTCTTCTACACTCAGAAAAATTGTTTCCAAGAAATCATACAATATCGTGGGTACTAGCAGTAAATATCAAGTGTGAGAACACAGAAGTTCAACACATCTTATATAATGGAATTAAGTACAAGTTGTAGGATTTTGAGTAGTTTATATGTATTCAGTTGGTAAAGAAATTCCCTGCTATTTTTATGGAACCTATGGTTTCATTACAGTATTCACAAATGCCTGAAAATGGCCCCTATCCTGAACAACTAATCCACATCCTATTCCCTATAAAATATCCTTCCATTTATGCCTAGACCTCTCAAGTTCTCTCTTCCTTTGTGATCTAACCTGTACGTATTTTTGTATTTCTTTCCGTGCAAGCCACATGTCCCATTCACCTCAAAGTTCTTCATATAATCCATCTAACAATAATAAATAAAGTCTCCAGATATGGAAAGCTGTAAATATGCTGAGAAATCTCTTGCAAACAGAGAAGGGATGGCTCTCCAGCCATGAATTGCCAAATAGAGCAAGGAGGAGGAATGTATTTGCTAGACAATAAATACTAAAACTCATACATATAGTACACTTCTTGTAGTGTTTTATGTGGACCTAGAATTCTTAATATTATGCACCTTAAATCATACTCACCATCATAAAGTGCTAGTTCAATCACTAAACCACACAGTCAGGGCTGTAGTAGTGCCAGGGCACAAACACAACACTTATTTCAAGGAGAGTGATGTCAAATATAGGTAAGGGCAAGTGGGGTTAGGGACCCCACTCCCAAAATACGAGACAGAGAGTATGCCCCTCTAGAAACTTACAAAAAATTATGTAATATAAAGGTAATAGAGAACTTACAGGCTTTTTAATTTATATATGTTTGAGGCAGAAGTATCAGCTTCTTTAAGTACACACATTTCACGAATTCTGCATTTAGAAGTACACAGATATAAGGAGCAATGAGAATGGCCTCATATTATGATTCATGCCCATGTCAATCAATTTGAAACTGCACGTTTTAGTACACCCCTGATCAAAGCAATCAGAAATGAGGCATCTAAACACACCTGACTATTAAAACAGCACTGCACTGCAACCCCTCTTCAAATTTTGCTTATTGTTGTTGCTAATGAAATTTCTAAATTACCTCAGTCATTAAAACATTTTTTCTTGCACTTTATTATACTTTTAAAAAAGAGCTACACTACTAAATTAAAACAAGTTATGGAAGAGGCAGTAGTTTTAAATACTGCAAGTGAGATGTAGTTTAAACAAGGAATACACTATGAATTAAATGATCACATTGTTTATATCAGATGTCAGGCAGCACCACAAAAAATAAACTCCATGTGCAAGAAATTTTGTAACTGTAGGTTTCTCTGTAATAAGGTTTGAAATATTACAATAAGGCACAATACTAAAATTAAAGTTATGTCTCAATGACAAATATTTGAAGCTTACATTACAGATGGTGTGCTCAGTAAAGTTGGCCCACCAAATTCCAGAGGGTATTTGAACATCAGGAAGAAGTATACATGTCCAACCAATATTCCCACCAACTCCAAGATTCCCCTAAAAGGAAAAATCAACGTAACTCCACCTTCCAAATACGAACAAGGAGTTCCAGGCAAAACTCATAGAGTTTCCAGCCTTTCTACAATAACGCGATAGCTGTGTTCCTAGAAAACATTGCAAAATGGAAAAATTGTGTTATACAAACCATTAGTTTAATTGGAATTAGGTTATCAATAGTGTGTTCAGATAGTGTCACACCATTGTGTAAATGTTTTCCTATTAAAAACTCATGCCAGAACTAGTTCTATGATCTATACACAGCGCAAAAAGCCTTCTTCTTCTTTAGCGCTACGGCCCTTTCAGTGTAGCCTTGGCTTCTCTTGCGATCGATGCCCAGTCTTCCCTATTCTGTACTTTTCTTCTCCAGCCTCTTACACCCATCTGTTTAAGATCAGACTCCACGTCTTCGATGCATTGGAGTTTCGTTCTTCCTTTCTTTAATTTGCTAGGTTTACTATTGATGATCATCTTACATCCTCTATCATCACTCATTCGGAGTATATGTCCAAGCAATTCTATCCTTCTTGCCTTTATTACAGCTACAATATCTGAGCTTTTGAACAGCTTCTCCAGCTCGATATTCATTCCAATTCTCCATAGGCCATTGTCACATATTGAACCAAAAATCTGCCTTAAAATTTTCCTTTCCCAGGACATAAGCACTTTTTCACCCAGACATGTTAAAGGCGCAAAAACCCAGAAGACAGAAATCTTCAACTCTCAGATTAATGATGATCTTGTTTCAACTGTGTAGGTTCTAAAGCATAAAACGAGTAGGCAAGAATATGACAAGAGGCAACTATGGCCTACTTCTAGATATAATACTAGTGTTTACCTGGAGAATATGAGGAAGAACTAAAAAAACTGAAGTCCATCCAATAAACAACTGAGATTAAGAACAGGTACTTCTTGAATGGTATCATCACACAAACATATTATGAACTATCTACTAAAAATCTACATTAAATAAAATATTGCTGACTTACCCTCCAGAAATTATAAGGTTGAATGCAAACAAGACCCATGGAAGATACATTGCTTTGAACTGGGAACCAAACCAGAAGTTGACAATGACATCCTTATTTAGTTGACACCATATATATAGGACACTTAGTACCATTGGATCCATAAGAAGCTGCAAGCAATTAATGAACATGTAAGAGCGGTCTTTACAGTAGAAGAGCCAAGAGAATAGACATGGAATGATTATGTGTTCTGAGGCACTGCCATTGCAATTACAGTTCTATGGATTTGTGAGACTTCATTCCTAAATATTTAAAACAAGAGAGTTCTCACTTTAAATAATTACTGATTTCAACTATAGTAACCAAAATCAAGATGTCAAATATATTCGTTATAAGAGACATTATTTAACAGCAAAAGAAAATTTTAAGAAGTAACACTTACTGGTATGTCAGCAATTAAACCAACAATAACACAACATGCCCAGTTGAAGAGCAACATGAAGAAATAATCACCAGGTCGGCCATCAAACGTTCCTAAAATAAATCACAAATCACCTTACCTACACTGTTACCAGTGGCAGTAAATAATCACAGATATTAAAACTTAAATATCAGATAACACTGAAATTTATAGAGTAAAAGAAAAGAAAAAAGAACGAGAAACCTCACTCAAGAAAGTCAGTGCCCTGCCCAAAACTTAAACAGTGCGTCTGAATACAAGTCAAAAGCATAGACTAGCAGATAAAAAACAAACCTGAGATATAGCTTTTATGAAAGTTTAAAACACTTTATATGTCCTACTTGTATGTTCAACACTTAAAATAGCAAGACAGTAACAAACATAAAGACCAACTTCAAGTATTGCAGTTATAAACATTCATAGTCGACAGAATAATGTAATTATAATTTAGCGCTTCATTACTACCAACATCTAAAACGTGCATAAGTACAAACAATTAATGGACGCATGGTTAATTTAAGTATACTAGACTGTAAACATCTACATGGAAAGACTAGTAACAAGTTTAAATCATACATTTTAGTGATACAGCTTTTCATACAGAATTTATTGGTATGTTTGTTATGTCTCCATACAAAATTTCAAAAAAGCAATGACACAAGAGCCATAAATTTTTATTATGCATAAGATATGAAAAATGCAGTATTATGTATGTACCAAATATCACATGCTTAGCCAGTTACCCATTACCTGCTGAATTTCAACAAATAAGTTCTACTACAAGATATATATATATATAAAACTCTTGGACAATCAGAGCAGCAGAAATGAAATACATGATAAAGACAGCGGGTTACAATTGGATGGATCACAAAACTAAAACAGGCTACTCAACATTTTAAGAAATTATGTACCAAAAGGAAGAAGTCAGGGGAAGACCTCTGAAAAGGCTTTTGGAAAAGTGAAGCCAGAACAGGCCAACAAATGTCCTAACTCCACGAAAGCTACATGATGATGATATAAACTCTTGCTTATTTGAAGAAGATGTAAATCAAGAACATAGCCTTTTAATTATACAAGCAAATAACTAACTAACCAACCCTATGGTAACAGAATATTAACACAATCCTGACCCAGTTCTCATCCTTACTACCAACTAACTTCATGGCTTACAGAACCCGAAGGTTCATCACCAAATTAACCAAATCCCTCCACCAGACCCTGTCCTGGGCCAAGAAAATTCAGTCTCCTTCAACTCCTATCTACCATAGATCCTGCCTCAGATTATCCTCCCACCTACTTCTCTAATAATTGTTAAAATTTAACACTCCCATCTCCTCCTTAAGCTTCCAAGTTGACACCTTCCAAGAGTTATTTTCACAAAATTTTGTATTTCTTGTCTTCTCCACCCAAAATACATGGCCTGTCTATTACAACCTCCTTTCCTTACTTTAACAATAAATCCTCATTACAGTATATCTTAAACTGCTCACTAATAGATATGAAGATACCATATAAGTTTAAATATCTTCCCACTAAATATTTTGTTTTAAAACTTGTAATTTATTTTATTACCTGAAGGAGACCACATTTCATAAACAAGTGTAACACATGATAAAACTGAGTTTACAACACAGGACTAAGATTTTGTGTATGACAAATGTTTCACTTTATTTAATATGTTACTTTATAACTACATTACCAGTTTCAAGCCTCAATGAGTAGTTGTATAAAAAGTAGCAATTTATCAAGAAATGAAATCCAGTTGATGGTGTCAGTGGATAATAGAAAACGGCAGTTGCTGGTCTCCAGATCTGCAATCAAGAGCCGGGGGTTATTTTCACCTATTAAACACACACATACAAAAACAAGATCTTTCAAAATGGCCTGACAGAGCCCAATAAGGGAGTTGTGTCTGACTGATAAACAACAACTTAAAACTTACATAAAACTGATGTACACAGTACAACAAAATTGCATTTAACAAATGTAATATCATTCTAATGTCGCCCTCAGAGGACTAGTGGTTAGCGCGCTCGCCACTGGACCCATGGTTCGTGGGTTCAATTTTTAAGGGTGATAAAAATCCGTAGCACAACTTCCTTCGGAGGGGAAGTAAAGCCGGCGGTCCCATGTTGTAGATTTACGGCATGTAAAAGAACCTTACGAGCATGATACAAGATCTTTCGTAAGCAAAATTCAGTGGCCATTTCTCACCGAAGAAGTCTAATGATTGACTGCTAGATGGTTCTGGCAGTCAAATCAGGATTAAGTAGAAATTGTGCAGAGTCAGTGGGCTGGTCACTCACTACTTCACGCATGACCAAGACACCTCTTGTAAAATCTGATAAGTTCTATGATCAGGAAGAAGACAGAGAACCTACGTGAGCAGAAAATTTGTGTCATATGCCCATACCAAAATACCAAAACACAACAGTATTAAAAAATCCCAAAACAGCACACAAATTACTAGTAAGACTGATGCCTGCATAAGAGTGGTATGGTTACAGTAGGATAGCCTATTTTATTTTAGTGTTTGGAAGAACTTTAGAATATGGTGACCATGTATATCTTCAGCTAATATCAGAATGGAACATGTCTAATTCTCTAAATCTATCACTGAAGTACAATTTTACTTACTCATACTGTGAACATAAT